AGGCTAGCGCTCTACCTCTTGAGCCACAGTGCTACTTCCGGCTTTTTTCTTTTTGCTTAAAGAAGAAAAAAACCTACCTGACTGGAAAAATACAAATAATCATGGCAAGTATCTTCAGATAGCAAGACTGAATTTAATGGCTCTGTGACAGAGCAGAAATTCAAATATGTTTTTAATATGTGGTGAACCAACCTGCTTGAGACACAATTGAAAGGAGTCCCTTGACAAACAGGAATAATAATGAACCATGGATTCTAGCATGCTTGGAATGGGTGTGTGCACTGTATTAACCAACAAAGGAGAATTTACCATTGTGAAAAACAGGAATAATCACTCCACCCACTCTGTATACAACCTCTGCCAATTGTCTTGCTTCCTGGTGAAGATTTTCTGGCTATGAGAACAGAAAGTAATGCAAACCTTTATGAGGAAATAAGAAAGTTTAAAATACAAATTTTATTCAGATAAGTGATTTCCAAAAGCACAATAGTGTATGTATTTTTAAAAAAAAACAAAACTCTAGGGCTGGGAAGGTGGCTCAGTGGTAGAGCGCTTGCCTTGCATGCATGAGGCCCTGGGTTCGATTCCTCAGCACCACATAAGCAAAAAGAAAAAAGCCGGAAGTGGCGCTGTGGCTCAAGTGGTAGAGCGCTAGCCTTGAGCTGAAGAGCTGAGGGACAGCGCCCAGGCCCAGAGTTCAAGCCCCATGACCGGACCCAAAAAAAAAAAAAAACTGTAGCCCAGTGCCAGAGGCTCATACCTGTCAGCTCGGGGGCTGGGAAGGTGGCTCAGTGGTAGAGCGCTTGCCTTGCATGCCTGAGACCACGGATTCGATTCCTCAGCACCACATAAGCAAAAAGAAAAAAGCCGGAAGTGGCGCTGTGGCTCAAGTGGTAGAATGCTAGCCTTGAGCTGAAGAGCTGAGGGACAGCACCCAGGCCCAGAGTTCAGGCCCCATGACCGGACCTAAAAAAAAACAAAAAACAAAGCCAGCTAGGGCAGGAAAGTCCATGAGACTCTTATCTCCAACAAACCACTAGAAAACTAGAAGTGGTGCTGTGGCTCAAGTGGTAGAGCGCTCACCTTGAGCCAAAGAGCGCAAGGACAGCACCCAAGCCAAAAAAAAAAAAATGTAGAAGAAATTGGAGCTGTGCTTTAAGTGATAGAGTGCTAGCCTGGAGCACAAAAGCTCAGGGACATCCAAGAAAGGAAAAAAAAAAAAAAAAAAAAAAAAACTGAGAAGTATAGGAAACCATAAATTTTGTTTGCAAATCAGTCAGGCTTCTTGACATACTTCTGTCCAATATTCCTTTGAGTGGATTTTTAACAGTAACTAAATTTGCCAAGAAGTTTGTCTTTGTTTCCCATGTACAGTTTCTTTTCATGCCTGTGAGACTGGTTTTCTTTTCTTTTCTTTCCTTGGTGCCAGTCCTTAGGCCTCAGCTCTGGGCCTGGGTACTCTTTCTGCTCCACTTCTGGCTTTTTGGTGGTTAATTGGAAAAGAGTCTCACAGACTTTCCTGCCCAGACTGGCTTTGAACCACAATCCTCTGATTTTAGCCTTCTGAGTAGCTAGGCTTATAGGTGTGAGCTACCAGCACCCAGAAGGAAACTGATTTTGAGTAGATCTAGAGTTTTGTTGGAGCTTTCCTTTTTTTTAACAATTTTTGTTTGTTTTCCTGAACTTTTTTTTTTTAAAAAACTTTGTCTCTTTTTAAAAATCTCTAGGGGCTGGGAAGGTGGCTCAGTGGTAGAGCGCTTGCCTTGCAATGCATGAGGCCCTGGGTTCCATTCCTCAGCACCACATAGGCAAAAAGAAAAAAAAAGCCGGAAGTGGTGCTGTGGCTCAAGTGGTAGAGCGCTAGCCTTGAGCTGAAGAGCTGAGGGGCAGCGCCCAGGCCCAGAGTTCAGGCCCCACGACCGGACCCAAAAAAAAAATAAAAAGAAAAATCTCTAACAGGGCTGAGAAAGTGGTTTAGTGGTAGAATGCAGTTTACTGCTAGAATGCTTGCCTAGTATGCATGAAGCCTAGGTTCGATTCCTCAGTACAACATAAACAGAAAAAGTCGGAAGTGGTGCTATGATTAAAGTGGTAGAGTGCTAGCTTTGAGCCTGGGACAGTGCCCAGGCCCTGAGTTCAAGCCCTAGGACTGGGAAAAACAGAATAAAACAAACCTCTAACAATGATGGGAACTCTGTAATCCTAGCTAACCAGGAGTCTGAGATCTAAGGATGGAGGTGGTTCAAAGCCAGCCCAGGCAGACAAATCAAAGAGACTCCCAATTAACTAGCAAAAAAATATGGGGCTCAAGTGGTATAATACCAGCTTTGAGGGGAAAAGCCAAGCAAAAGTGCAAGTCCTTGGGTTCAAGCCCCAGTACAGGCATAAAAAAAGAAAAAAATGTTGGAGCTGGGAAGGTGGCTCAGTAGTAGAGTACCTGCCTTGTATGCATGAAATGAAACCCTGGGTTTGATTCCTCAGTACCACATAAACAGAAAAGGCTAGAAGTGGCTCAAGTGTTAGAGCGCTAGTCTTGAGCTGAAGAGCTGAACCAGAGTTCAAGCCCCACTACCCAAAAAAAGAAAAAGAAAAATGTTTCTAGTAAGGAGAAAGTAGATGAGTTCAATTTTTTTCTTTTGATAGTTTTAGTTAAAATCTACAATAAGTGTTGTCTGATTCTTCTTCATTCCCTCAAGAAAAATTAAAATTTTTCTAATATTTAGGTCTTTGTTCCTTCCCTTAATGACCATCCCTTAAGGATAACTTTGGCATCCTTGGTAATTTAAAATGATGACAGAGTATTAGATAAGGTTGAGTAAATTGACTAATGGAAAGCTTTTTATTAAAATTCTTTATTAGCGTACATTAGTTGCAGTAAGAACTTTCATTACATTTCCATACATGCATACAAAGTACCCATCAACTTCACCCCCTCTACCACTTTCCCCTGTCCTCTACCCCCTTTCTTCGTAAAACAATTCCTATAGGTTTCATTGTTCTGTTTGCACATATGCTTCAACCATTGTACAAATACTTCAACCATAATCATCTTCTCCATTTACCATCTCTCCTCTGGATAGCTGCCCCCAACAGAAACAGTCTTACTTTGGATACTGAATCTTTTTTAAACTGGATCTTTCGGAGCATGTATGTTACTGTAATTTATTTTATACTCATTTATTGCTAATGTAAATATATGATCTACTGGCATTTCTATCTGTATTACATGTTTTTTTAAAGTTACTTTAACTGCTAAGGAAAATCTCTCTTCTGAGAAAACTTCCTGTTGTTGCTCCTTTGTAGTTAGAGTCATTACTGGTAAACAGTAACACAGTTCAGACACAGCTCTGGTGTGCCAGTAACATAAAGCAACTTAGGAGTCATTGAGACCTCACTACCCTTCTCTGTCTTTGTGTCTGTTCTAGGTCTCCTGGTATCATCCTCACTGCTTCCCCTTTCCTTTATTTCTCCTCACGCGTTTTTGCACATCCTACAAGTTCTCATTAAAGTACATTTTAGAGCATTTCATCTCACACTGATCTGTCCTTTCTCCTTCCAGTTCTTTTAATGTTTATTTTCTGTACCAATAGTTAATCTTGAATTGTACATTCCTTTGTTCACAGATTGAGGTGGGGGGGGAGATTTTGAATTCCCATAATGAAGTTCTTTGTGTGCAGAAGCTATTTTTCGCACTACTTTGGGTTTTATTCCATAGCATGAATACCAACTAGGGTCTCCTTAATGTATCTGGTGGTGGAAGATCAAAGCAAAGGACTGGGAATGGGACTGAGTGGTAGAGTGCTTGCCTAGCAAGCATGAAGTCCTGGGTTTGATTCCTTCATCCCATATACACAGAACAAGCTGGAAGTGGCCCTGTAGCTCAGGTGCTAAAGTGCTAGCCTTGAGCAGCACCGAGAGGCTCAGGGACATTGCTAAGTTTTTTTTTTCTCTTTTATTCCTCTGCTTTGTAAAAATCCAGATTCAAAAGCTGGAGCCTACTTGTCCTAGGAAAAAATCAACTTAAATTGATTCAGTATACCTTTAGGGAAAGCATTAGGCACTTCTGGCCCAAGGGAAGAGATTGGACTTACTTGCCTTTTTGCCATAGTGTGACAAATGAGAAAATAAAGATTTGATTTTCTAGGTTGTCCTTAGTTACCTCTTTTATAAAATGGCTGCAATATATCTATAACAGGTGCCTGATAGCTGCAGTTGCCCAACCGGTTTAACTGCACTGCCCCCACATATGCTGGGTGAGAGAGCTCCAAGTACAGCTCTTATCAAAGATCTCTGTCCAGGTCATCTCAGAACAAGTTGTTTAGTAATGTACAGGAGTTCCAGTGCAAACCATCTACCATAAACCACGAAATGATTCAAGGTCCATAGTTCCTCTTTGTTCCTTTGTTAATCACTGACTTCTGACTAGGGGGAGGTGCCTCCCAAATTTGCTAATGCATTCTTTTTGGATAAGGATGACGCACAGATTGTCCTAATAAGGACTTAGATTGAGAAAGCACCTCCCCCTCTGAGAAGATGGGACGAGTTGGAGAGAGGGCGGGCAGTTTCTTTTTTAACTAGGGATGACACAACCATAAGTCATTTCCTTATTAATCGGTTCAAACCAGTTCTTACAGGAACTGGTGGTGATAAATGTGAGACTTCTGAGAAGTCATTCATTTTATTCTTTGTGCAGCCCCAAGTGTGCTCTGAAGGCTCTGTTGGCTTCACTCTTGAGCACTTGTGCTTCAGAAGTGGCTTCTAACTGCAGCTTTTAGTTCCTCTCAGATGTCAGAGGTTTTCTTACTTTAAGGAGCTGTTTAAATGAAGCATTTTTCATCTACTAAAGAGTTCATGGGATTTTGACAAGGATTATTTTATATATTTTGTTCCTCTTTTTTTAATCCAGTTTCTGCTTTTTTGAGTCCAGGTGGTAAGTGGGTTTTCTTTAATATCTATCTCTCCTGCCTTTCTTCCCTGGGGCTACTGTGCCCTGCCTCCAGTGCTGTCCCGGGCATCGGTCCTTCTCTGCAGAAGCCATTCCAGGAATACCTGGAGGCTCAGCGCCAGAAGCTTCACCACAAAAGAGATGTGGGCACCCCACAGGTGAGAATTTACTCTTGAGTTCTTCTCCCCCTAGGCAGTCCCAGATTGAAATTAGGTTCTTGGCTCTCACATTTTTAGGCAGATAGAGTGAAGTTTGCTTGGCTGTTTCTTAACAGATGTTGTGGCATCCTGAATGCACTTAACTCTCTACTGGGAAATCTGTTTTAATCCATACCAAAAAAAAAAGAGAGAGAGAAAGTTAATTACTTTTCTGAGTATCTTCCAAAAACAACAGTAGAGGCAGAACAGTTCCATTCTGTTATGTGAAATGAATTATTGCCTTGATCTTAACTGATTTATCAGATACACGTCTCTGCCTGATTAAATTAAAATGTTAAAATTTGGAATGTTTAAATAACAAAATACTTGGTAACTTAAATATCTGCCTATTCTGTTTTTTATTTCACTTGTGAGAAAATAATCATTTCAGTTTGTTTTCAGATAAATCAAGGCTCCTCTTATAAAGTTGAACTTTAAGACTTTAACTTTAACCAAGAATGCTTTTTTATAAACAGTTCTGTGACTGGAGGAAGTAAGCAAATGCCTGAAATGGGAAACTTGAAGGAAGCAGTTGCTTTTTAATGGCCTTAGCACTCTTCACTAGGCACTTTGCTGCCCTCACTTGTCCATAAACAACTTAGTTATATCTTAACTCCCAATACTGAAACAAAACTGTTTAACTGTCCTAACAACTGCTTTGCAACATAACTACTTTGCTCATAACTACTCTTGGATCATAGTAAAAGACAAAAGATGAACTCACATTTGCATTTCTCACCAAACTGTGAATCATATCTACTGTTTGCCCAACAAAGTGAAGTCTTGTATATAAAAGTATATAAAAATGCTGGCCTTAGCCTAGGTTTTTAGGTTACAAGTTTCAAGTTCTATTATTTTTGTTACTTTCCTTAAACTGTAGTAAATGGTCCCCTACTTACTGCTGAACAAATGAAGCCTTTTCATTTGAATTGTTTGCTTTTTGCTTTTCCTGCAGGGAGAAAACTGGTTATCCTGGATGTTTGAGAAGTTGGTCGTGGTGATGGTGTGTTACTTTATCCTGTCTATCATTAACTCAATGGCACAAAGTTATGCCAAACGAATCCAACAGCGGTTGAACTCAGAGGAGAAAACGAAATAAGCAGAGAAGGCTTTTAACTGCAGAAATTAGGATGAATAGGTTATGGGAGGACCCATAACCAGGAAGAAAAATTCTCTTTTCCAACCTGTATCAATTTTAAAAACATTTTTCCTGAAAGCAGTTTTAAGTTCATATTTTGCACTGACATACTTTTCCTTTATGTGTTAAGGTAAGGTATCGACCCTCAATTCAATCCACATTTTTTTTTTTATTAGGGTGAATGTGATGTTCAGCCACAAAGTTAACAGAAACTGGCCTTCTGTATTACTTTCAAAAGGTCTACTTGGTACAATTGGAGAATACTATGTTAAATATGTCAAGCTTTTTAGGCTTGTCTCTGGTTTGTTTTTTTCTAAGTCATCAAAATGTATATAAATTATATATAGATTGGATATCAGTCTTGCATGCCTATCATGGTACAATTTAATATACCATCCTACCCAAACTTTCCTTGCCCACCCTTGAAAAAAAAAGGCCATTTTATGATGCATTACACACCCTCTGGGAGATTAATCTTTAAATTTTAAAACAGTATAAGGAAAATCTGTTTGGTGTCTCACAAGTGAGTACACCATTTTTTATTCTGTATATTTAGAATGAAGTCATGAAAAAAAACTTTATAAAGACATCTTTGATCATTCCAAAATTGTGTTTGTTTTCTTGAGCGATATCATCTTTTTTCCCCTTTTAGCTTATATCAACTGAGGGACAACCTTGCCAAATCCAACTATTACCGGGATTTCTTAAGCTTTATTTATTTGCATGAAAGAGCCAACACCCAGTTATCTTGTTATGCTCGAACTGGACTACTACACATTGCTAAATGACACCTCTAACGTTGGCCTAGTCTGAGGATTTGATGGTTTGTAAAACCCAGGAAAGAAAAGAAAAATGCTAATGTACAAATCACAGGACACTTGAGAAAAGTTACTCATTTTTTTTAAAAAACACTACACCTTCTCTAATCTGTTAATTTTAGCAAATTTGTACTCCAATTTTAACACTTTTTTTTTTCTTTGAGATTTTTTTTCTATCCATTTTGTTTAGGGAAATAAATGACTTTACTTTTTTTTCCTTTAGGAAAATTTATACTGACATTGTGTCAAAGTAGAATCGAATTGGAGATAAATTTCAACAAGCCAGAAATGCTTGGTTTGGTTATTCAAATCTTTCCTGAATGTCTGCTTGTTTTGCCTACCGTCGTGACATCTCCATGGCTGTACCACCTTGTCGGGTAGCTTATCAGACTGATGTTGACTGTTGAATCTCATGGCAACAGCAGTCGATGGGCTGTCTGACATTTTGGTATCTTTCATCTGACCATCCATATCAGTATTCTCATTCAGACATTTGGTATCATGGTTCACAATCAAAACCTGTGGTCCTTGTGTCTAATGGCACTTTTGGGTCCTTTTATGCCATGATATAGCAACATATCGAGAAGACTTTGTGGGCAATAGGGATAGTCTCCATGACCATAGCTAAATAAAATATGCTGCTTTATCGGTTTTGAAAAGGTTATTACTTCTTAGCATGTTTGTTTTTCAAAGACTAGCATTTTAACTGTTAGTTGAGCCTACTTGAAAAACAGTACCAAAAACTTTATTGTAGATTTACATTAAACAGCATAATTTTTTAGATTGTTTGGTGTTGGCTAAAGTCAGGGCTCCTAAACTGACTTCCAGTTGTGGTTCATCTCCTTCACCTGCATTTATTTCATGTTTGTCTAAAGAAAGGAAAGAGGAAGTAAATATAAATGGCACCATGCATACTAAATTTTGGGGGGGTTATCATAAATTTGTTCCAGGTAATGTATTAGAAAATCTTTCTTAGGCTAACTGCCTTAGAGCTTCATTTGACTTAAGGTGACCACTTATTCACTGTTTCAAACTAACTTGCTTTAAGAAAAATGAAGAACAGCTCTCTTTCCTTCTGAGTATTCACTTGTGCTTCACTTGTATGTTTCTGTTGGATTCCAGCTCGAGCAATGTGATAACCTGTCTTTTCCAGAGCTTGGTTTGTTCCCTTTTTTTCAATACTGAGGATTGAACCTACGGTTAAGTTCCCTGGGCAAGGGCTCTCCCATTTGAGTCCAGCCTATTCCTTTCTTATGTTCACTAAGGTAAATTGAACTACATGATCCCAGAAATAAATGCACACACTAGGTGGTGGAAAGCAGAGAACTTGCATGTGGATGGTTTAATTATTACTCTAAATAAAAGAGGGTTTTGAAAATTCTGATTTCATCTCTATTTCATAGAAGTTTCATCTTGTGCCTTACCCATCTGTGATTTCTTATCATTTCCCATCCCAGTGATTGCTGAACAGAATACATCAGCAGTTAATATACCTAAGCACTGACCTAAAAATGGAGTCATATCCAGTTTTCATGGATTTCTGGAGTCCTGTGCATATGTATAATGTGGAGTATGAGGCATGGAAAAAAAGGATATTTTCACTTTCATTTGGATAGTGATCACCTAGTCTCATTCTCCTAAGAATACAGAAAAACTCAGACTGGAAATGAGGTTTCTTAAATTCAGTAATCATGAAAGTGCCCAGTAATGAGTGTTCCCACACAGTCTCATCCTATGTTGAGACCCTGTATCTGTGTGCTCTGGTATCTGGCCTTAGAACAGCATGCCACTTCTCTATGTTCACAAGGCATTCGGCTGTGACTCAGTACAAATCGTGCACTAAGCTAAAGAACCAACCACTCTCTTGTAAAGTACTACAATAAAGTGTTTAGGGAATACTACGCACTGATAAGCATGCAACAGTCTGATAAAGAAGCAGGTACCAGTAGCTAATGCCTGTGGTGGTAGTTCTTCAAGATCCAAAGGACTGAGGTTCAGAGCCAGCCCAGGCAGAAAAGTCCCTTAGACAGCATCTCCAAAATAGCCAAAAAACTGGGGTGAATGTGTGGCTCAGTATTTGATAGCATACTCATTCCTCCAGAAAACCTTTTGTGTTTTTGTGGGCTTTAGGGGTTAAACCCAGCATCTAGGGCTGGGAAGGTGGCTCAGTAGTAGAGTGCTTGCCTTGCATGCATGAGGCCCTGGGTTCAATTCTTTAGCACCCCATAAGCAGAAAAAGCCGGAAGTGGTGCTATGGCTCGAGTGGTAGAGCACTAGCCTTGAGCTGAAGAGCTGAGGGACAGTGCCCATTCCTAGAGTTCAGACCCCACAACCAACAAAAAAAAAAAAAGCATCCTTGTATTTAATCATACACTCTACCAATCTGCTATACAACGTTTTACTAAAGTTTAAGGGTCGGGGGGAGGCAGGGTGATGAACACCTGCATGAATTTCTACTTTAACTCCAAATTAGTAGCCAGGCAAGATGAAGCTTGGGAGACTGAGGCAGCACAATGAGAGTTCAAGATCATCTTGGGGTACATAGCAAGAACCCATTTAAGAAAAAAATCCCAAGTTAATAAAGCAAAAATCACCAAGCCTGGTTGTATACACCTTTAATTCTAGCACTTGGGGGAGGAGGATTACAAGCTTGAGGTCAGGCTGTCCTAGAGAAAAAAAAAAAAAAAAAAAGCTGAGGGCTTGGAATGTGGCTGGAGTGCTTGCCTAGCACGCAGGAAGTCCTGGGTTCAATTCCTTAGTACCACATACACAGAAAAAGCTGGAAGTGGCACCGTGGCTCAAGTAGTAGAGGGCTAGCCTTGAGCACAAGAGGCTCAGGGACAGAGCCCAGGCCCTGAGTTCAAGCCCCATGACGGCAAAAATGAAAATTACTGAATTAGTAACTTGGTTAATAAAAAACAAAATTCATTTAAGTTAAGTACACCCTTAGGTGTATCCTGTTTAAGACAATGTATAAAACACAGATAATACATAGTAATTTTAAGTACATTTTTACTTTATACTTAAATTGCTGACATTTACTTATTTACTGTCATTATAAAAATGTTAGTACTTGGAAATATCAACACTGAGCCCCATAAATGTATACAGTTGTGTCAGTTAAAGCTTTTTAGGAGCTGGGAAGATAGCTCAGTGGTAGAGTGCTTACCTTACATGCAATGAAGCCTTGGGTTCAATTCCTCAGCACCACATAAGCAGAAAAAACCAGAAGTGGCACTGTAGCTCAGGTGGTAGAATGCTAGCCTTGAGCTGAAGAGCTGAGGGACAGCACCCAGGTCCAGAGTTCAAGCCCTACAACTAGGGGTAGAAAGCGGGGAGGGAGGGGACTTTTTAGTTCCAGCCACACAGGAGCACAAAGGAAGTATAATGCTTGAGCACAGGAAATTTGAGACCACCATGGACAACATAGACCTGGTCTCAAGGAGAAAAGGACAGTAGGCACAACTCAAGTAGTAGAATGGCCAGTTGCAAGTGAAAAAGCTGGACAAAAGAGAGAGTGCTTTGAGTTTAACTCCCAGTACTGGTACCAAAGAAAAAGAAGGTTGGGGCCATGCACTGGTGGCTCATGCCTGTAATCCTAGACTGAGATTTGAGGAATTCGGTTCAAAGCCAGCCTGGGCAGGGAAGTCTGTGAGACTCTATCTCCAATTAAATCACAAAAAACGAAGCGGTGCTGTGGCTCAAGTGTACAGTACTTGCTTTGAGCAAAAGGCAGGACCAGCAAAAAAAAAAATGGGGGGGGGTTAGGGAAAGAGGAATCTTTTCCTATTTTAATTAAAATATACATGTGTAAAATACCATGGTGAGAACTTTCAGTATTTAATACATACTTAAAAAGAATGAAGAAAAATAAAACAAGCTCTGGTATGGGACAAATAGCAGGAGGGAAGTTGGGTGAGCTTGGTTGAAGTGCTTTGTGAAAAGATCGATCACATCCATCCCAGGGGACCACGCAGAGGCAGGCAGGCACAGGAGAAAGATTATTACAAGGTTTATTAGAGAAGTCATATTTCTCCCAGAGAGAGAGCCCATGGCAGCCTCCACTATCTAGGTAGCAGCAGGGTTTGGGGGTAGGAAGTGTGGTAGATGGGAGTTCAGGTGGGTCTGGGTGGAGAGAGGGAGGGGCCAGCTGTGTGGCAGGAACTCCAGGACTGGGGGGAACTGAGGACCGAAGGTGGGCATAATGCTTACATTTGTACACATACAGCACAATAAAGTGTTTTAAGAAGTAGGGAGGGAAAATAAGGGAGAATAATTGAGGGGGTAAGGTTATTGGAGCACAGTGTAATCGTGTATGGTGTCACAGTGAAACCTCAACCTTATATAATTAATGTAGAATAATAAGATTTCTTAATTTTTTAAAAAGAATATTAGTTCTGGAAAGCAGAGAAAAGGGAATGTCAGTTTTAATGTCTTATTTTAAAATTTAAAAAAAGGCTTAATTCGGGATATCCAGTGCAAATTGCTAAGTAAATAGGTTTTGAAACCAGGAACTGGAGGAGGCATGGTCCAAGTGACGAGAGTCTTGCCCAGGATTTTCAATCCCCAGTACAGCTAAAACAAAATAAGATTTCATGGCATGCAAGATCTTCCTCAGTAGACCTGAAATTTCCCTTTTGTGTTAGGTAATAAACACAAACATTTCTTTCTTCATAAAAAAATGAGGATGAGGAGAGTAGGTGTATATGTATTTCTTTTTGTTTTGTTCTTTTGAGAGTCATTTTTGTAGCCCAATCTGGATTTGAACTTTCAATTCCTTTGCCTTTGCCTTCCAAGTGCTGAGATTATAAACGCGTATCTCCACACCTGGCTTTAACTTGTTTTTAATATGCCACAAGTTTTAAGCTGATTTTATTAATAGTTTTAAAAGCAGAATAACATTCTATCGCTAAGATAGATCAAGTTTCTCTATTATTGTCAAAACATGGTAACTGAGATATCTACACAAAACCATTGCACCTGAAAAGTTCCATTCCTTTATTCTCAAATAACAAAAGAAAGCACCCTGGTATACTTTAAGCATGCAGTAAAAGAGTCACTTTTAGTAGACAGAGGCTTGAGTTCCTCTCCTTCCCCGAGGACAAGAGTTCACCTGTAGTAATGTGTTTGCCTTGGAGGTGAGGCCTTGAATTGAGGCAAATAAGCCATGTGTATTTGCATATTTAACCAGCACTCCTAAACAGATTGTATAAAAACCTATCTAGACAGCTGCTTACTCATTGCCTTTAGAATTGCTTGGTGCTGGGATAAGCAGATCAACTGTTCCTACTCTTTGACCCACTGGCCTTGCAGTTTGCTGTGGGTGTTAATACTTCCTAAATTAAAGGTTGGGGGGAGGTGTGCTTTAGATGGCTCCCACTCTCTACCCCAACATCCTGAATTCATTTGAGATTTGAAATAGTCAGGAGACTGACCCAAACTGTGGCCCAGAGTGAGTTACTTGCAAGAGGCTGGCTGGCTGTATGGGAACAGAAATGAATCGCAGCTTCAGGGGTTTGCCAGCCAAATCCACAAATGTGTGGCTTTTGAAACATCGGACATCTGTTCCTCTTAATTTAAAATAGACTTTTTTTTTTTTTTGAAGAGCACAAAGTTGCTTGGCTCCTTGTTTCTTGGTGTCAGCAGCAGTTGCTGCTCTAACTTAGAAAGTCTGGAGTCAGATTTGGGAAGTTTGGCATCTTTAGGGCACAGTTCAGTCTAGAGAGTGGAACTGATTGCAGTGGGAAGGAAGAGGAGGATTTTTACAGCACAGGCTGTATGTGGAAATCCCCTTCCCGGGTATTTAGCCCAGGTGTCCAACCTGTTAACTATTTCCAAATGACTCAAGAGGAAGTGCTTACACACACTCCACTGCTTCTACAAGTTAGTCTCTGTTTGCATTGGAAACTACAGTCCAGAATTCATAAGGGAAAGACCCTGAACTTCTCTGGGCATCTTTGATGTCAAGTAGGACCCCTAGTCTAACAACTAATAGCTTTTGAGATTCCCAGTCTCCTTTGATGGCCTACCCAGAGCCCTTTGAGGAAAGCCTAGCCCATCAAGGAAACCTCTGTAAACCACTCTTTCCTGCCCCCGCCCCTCTCCATTCCCAAATGTGGCATTTTACATTATTGCTATCTGTCCCCTTTGCAGCTTTTTCTTTCAGGCTGATTCTGATTGACCCAATCGAACAGCATTGCTTAAATGTGTTCCAGTCTGTTTCCCATGGAAATAGAAATGTTTTGGGGGAGTTAGGCAAGCTAGGGGTTGAAAAAAGGGATGGTGCCACTTTGCCTGAAGGTGAAGAATGACTTAGATCACTGTTGCCCCTTTGGCTGCTTCACCAGGATGACTTGGAAACAAAGAGCAGCTCAGGTTCACTTC